GGCTTTAAGAGCAAAATTAGGTCTTTAGAAGAATGAAATCCTGCCTTCTTGAGCTAGGCATGGTGGCTCATGTTTGCAATCCTAGCACAAGGGAAATTAGCAGGTAGGTATAACAAGATCTTGAATCAAAAGAAGACAAAGGGGCTTGGAGAGATAGGTCAGCAGAGGGCCTGGGTTCGGTTCCCAATACCACATGATGGCTAACAACTGTCCATAACTACAGTTCTAGGGGATCTTCTGACCTCTGTGGGCACCGCATGGCATGGGTGCATTTACATACACGTAGGCAATATATTCATACATGTAATAAAAGAAAAGAAAAATTCTGTATCAGTTTCAAGTATGCCAGCCTACAAATTTTGACTTGCTAACAACTAAAAGTATATTAGCTAATTCCTTGACAATCTCTTGATGGATCAATTGGTAGACCTATAAATATCCAAAATCATTCAAAATCTTTGTAGTTTAAAAGGAAAAAATAAAATTGAGTACTATACTGGTTAGTTTGACTAAAACCTACCCGAAGTCTAAATCCCAGCCTCCCTGGCTCGAGAGTCCCCTGCCTTTCATGAAGTGCTCACTCAGGGGTTCTCCAGTGGCCCTCTGGGGCTCAGTAATCTCTGAGGAAGGGGCTTCAGCTCAGCCTCACAGAACACTGATAGAGTCAGGCACAGCTAATGCTTGCTGAACACTTAGTGCACGTACATTTTGATTGCATTGTCTGTTAACTCCAAACAGCTCTGTGAAGCGCAGCCTATTTATTTCTCACCCTGAAAGGCTCTGAAGGGCTAAGTGCTACAGCTTCAAAGTAGTAGAGTAGGTTATCCCAACTCCTCTCTGTCCCTCAGCAATTGCCCAGGCTGTACCTATTGCAGAAGATAGCTTACTCAACACTGTCCTTAGTACTGAGTCAAAGTAGGTCCTTGGGGCCATTGCCTCCCTCATTTCTGTTCTCCCCACCAGTGGTCCATTTTTCAGACTCCCTTGTTCCTAATCTTCACTATAAAGTTTATTTGTGTTGGATCCCAGTGGGAAAGTATTAAATGGGTCATTGTTATGATGGGTTTAGGATTTTCCTTTCAACAAAAAATACGTGGAGCCGGGCGTGGTGGCACACGGCTTTAATCCCAGCACTCGGGAGGCAGAGGCAGGTGGATCTCTGTGAGTTCAAGTCCAGCCTGGTCTACATAGTGAGTTCCAGGACAGCTGGGGCTACAGGGAGACCCTGTCTCAAAAAGACCAAAAAGAAAAAAAAAAAACATGGAAACAAAACCTTAACCCTCAGAACAGCATGGTGGGCCGTCAGCAGGTGGGAAGAATTTCAGCAGGTGAAAGAGGTATTGGGACACTTATTGGGCAGGTACTCACAGGAAGGGCCCTCAGGTGATGGCTAGTGGAAAATAAAATTAACTCACAGAGGTATGAGGTGGGCTAAGGGGAACTAGTACAGGATGGAAATACTGTGAGGGTAGCAACATAGGGAGCCATTAGCCCCCTCTACCTTAAGGGACAAGGGAACAGTCATGCAGCCCTGAGGGGACTGAGCCCTGGGCAGAAACTGTGGCTTCAGCAGAGACCTACAGCCAACCCCTGGCTACCCAGCAGAGAGAAAAGCAAGGAAAGAAATCTCCCTCCCAGTCCTGCCTTCTGCACTCAGGAAAGCATCCCCCAGTGCTCACATTCAAACTGAGACCAGAGCACAAAGGGGTCTGTTGATGAAGTTCCTGGAGGCCAGGTTCCCAGGATACAGCAGAGTCAGACAGGAGGAGGACCTAAAGGAGCAGTGCTGCAACTCAGTACAGTGGCCCTTCATGACATCAGCACCCAAGGCTGGTAAGATAAATGCATCATTCAAGATGCCTCCGTCTTCACTGAGTGGCTGGGAGGATAACAAAACACTCAAGCCTTGAAGCAGCTCTGCCTAGTTGGAAGACTGACTTCCTGCCTTGGTGGCTTTGGCCTGATCTCTTCTGTGCCTCAGTTTCCTTGTCCATACAGCCAGGGATGAGGTCATCTGCCGGTAGGGTGGTTGTAAGGATGACCTGAGCTCTAGCACTTGAACAAGGCTGACTGGGTTTACACTGTCCTTGTGACCCTCCAATAGAGCTGGGGGGAGTTTCGGTGTGCCCCCAGGAACTTAGAGATACAGTCACCCCTCGCAACACGAGGCGGGGTGAGTTGTCAACCGAGAAGGAACACAAAAGGGAAGCTGATCCTGCACCTGGATGGGTGCGATAAGGGGTCTGCAGGAGCCTTGAGCAAGACGTAGCAAAATGAGTTGGTCGGCAGAAGTCCTTTCCACTAATTAAACTGGCACTGGTGTCCAGCTGACATCAATGAACAGTTCTGGACATTTAGATAAGGAAGGACATCCAGTTGGGAATGAAAAGGAATGGAGGATATAGGGATTGTCAGAGGACAAAATCAGCCCTGGAAACCAGGCCACTGTGAACAGCGCAGCAAGGGTCCAGCAGGGGCCTAGACAGGTCAGTCTGGGCCCACCTCTCATTCAGCATTTGAGTTGGGTATGCTGCATTTTCTTCTTCTTCCTGTTCAACTCCACCTTTCCCTCTTTTAACTACTCAAGCAGGAAAATCTTTATTGAACGTCTAACTCAACGGGGCCAGCAAGGTAGCTCACTCTTCATGCTTGCTACCAAGCCTGACAACCTGAGTTTGATCTCCTAGACCCACAGAGGAGACAGAGAAAACCGACGCCCACAGGTTGTCCTCTGGTGTTCATACATGCACTGTGGCAGGTATACGCCCAACTCGTACACACACAGAAAATAAGTAAATGTAATTTCAAAATATTTAAAGTCACCGGGCATGGTGGCCCACGCCTTTAACCCCAGCACTCAGGAGGCAGAGGCAGGTGGATCTCTATGAGTTCAAGGCCAGCCTGGTGTACATAGTGAGTTTCAGGACAGCTGGGGCTACAGGGAGACCCTGTCTCAAAAAGACCAAAAAAAAAAAAATTAAAGTCACACTGGGTATGGTGGTGTGCGCCTTTAGCCCAGTCCTTGAGAGACAGAGGCAGGAAGATCTCTATGAGTTCGAGGCCAGCCTGGTCTACATACTGAGCTGTAGGCTGGGATGTGAGTAGGGTGACCCTGTCAAAATAGATGATAGATAGATAGATAGATAGATAGATAGATAGATAGATAGATAGATAGATAGATGATAGATGATAGATAAAATTTTAAAACCAAAAAAGATTTTAAAATAATAAAAATTAAAAAATATTTAGTCATTTGACACTTAGATCCACTATTTTTTTCTTATCCCTGAAGTGTTTGTTCCTCATGAGAGTTCAGAGTCCACACATTTCTATAGGTACCTACTCTCCATTTTACCGGATAAACCTTGCTCATGGAACCAGCAAATGTTTAGCAATTTTATTTGCATTCTGTTTGCGGACGTTGTTCTTCTTTAAATGAAAGCAGACTACCCTTCTAATAAGGAAGCATGTTCCCTAACGGAAGCGTCAGTGATTCCCAAGCACAAGTCCATGTGTCTCAGTCCATTTGTATTGCTATAGCAAAATACCACAGAGTAACTTAGAAACAGCATCAGTGTCTCGAGTTCTAGAGCCTGGGAAGTCCAAGACCACTGCAGTAGCAGGTTATATGTATGGTGAGGTACTTCTTGCTGTGTCTTCATATGGCATAAGAGCAGATGAGATGAACTCATTTCCCAGATGCCTTCCCAAGGTCTCTAGTCCCACCCAAGGCCTGCCCTCTGCTGTTACCCTGGTGGCTGGGTTCCAGCCCACAGATTAGGGAAAACTTCAGAGCCTAATGCTCTGGGGTTTACAAAAAAGTCACTTCATGTTGAGGTAAATCACCTAAACCTAATTCCCATTATATTGTTTCCCAAAAGATAAACTGAATGGCTTAACGTGATCAATTTCTCTTTGAATTCAATCTAAAATTTCAAAAGGCAGTTAAAAAGCTTGCTTTCTTTGGGAAACTGTGGGGTTAATTTACTAAGGAAGCAAATTATGAATTTATCATCATAGTTTGTACCATGCATCAGGACTGTCCTTTTCATGTTCATGTGAATGCTTTTTTATGTATCATCTACATACACGTAAGTGAACTCGTGTTGTACAATGCCCATGGGTATCAGAAGAGGGCTTCAAGTGCCCTGGAGCTGGAGTTATGGATGGTTGTTAGTTGCCATGTGTGTGCTGGGAATTGAACCTGGGTCCTCTTAACCACTGAGCCAACTCTCCAGCCCCTCATGTGAATGTTTTTAAGGTTAACAGTTTCTTTTTTCATTAAAAAAGATAATAGTAGACAAAGCATTAGAGTAGGGTTTTGGGGGGTGGAGAGATGACTCAGTGGTTAAGAGCACTCACTGCTCTTCCAGAGGATTCAGATTCAATTTCTAGTATCCACATCAGGTGCCTCACAACTGCCTGGAACTCTGGCTCCCATAGAACCAACACCCTCTGGCCTCTATGGGCACCTTGCATGCACATGGTGGACATGGTTATAACTAAGTTGATTAAATATAAAGGTTATTAAAATTTAAAAAACAGGGCTGAGGATGTGGCTCAGTTGGTAGAGTGCTTTTCTAGCTACATGAAGCCCTACTTCATCCATAACACCACATAAACTGAGCATGGCAGCATTTACCTGTAATCCCAGCACTTGGGAGGCAAAGGCAGGAGGAGCAGAAGTTCAAATCTTGACTGTGCACCGAGTTTGAGACCAGCCTACGATACATGAAGCTCTGTCTCAGTATTAACAAACGAAGCATAAAATATAAGAAAGGAATCTTTAGTATCTTTGTAGAAAGTGCTGGTAATTTGATGCATTGCATTCCCTTATCTGCTTCCTGGTTTGTTTTGGGTTTGTTTTTTGTTTTGTTTTGTTTTGTTTTGTTTTTTGAAGCAGAATCTCACTGAGTAATTGGGGCTGGCCTTGACCTCACTGCATTGCCTAGGCAGGCCTTGAATTCCATCCCCCCCTTCCCTCACAAATGAACAAGGGGTTCATACACACAGCAAGGCCAGCTAAGGCTTTATTTTGGAAAATACAGCTGAATTGGATTTGGGTTAAGAATGTGGACTAGGGGGTATCCTAGGTGGGAGATTCCTCCCAAAGCTGGGCAGAGAGCTAGGGCTGAGCACTCCCTCATACAGCTGTCTCCCCATGAGCTCTGGGCAGCCACAGGAGGGGCTCAGGCTGGCGAGGGCTTCAGTGGCTCTTCACTTGGGCAGGATATCAGAGGACTCAGACACTAGCTTCCCATCGCGAGTCTCAATCTTCTTCACAACCACCGCCTTGGTGCGGCTGATGGTGCTGGAGCTCCCAGCAGAGCCGAAGCCAGGTTGGAAGGAGCTCACTCCGTAGCCGAAGCCAGGACTGGTGAGGCCTCCATAGGCTGAGTTCAGCCCTCCTGGTCCAAGACAATGCACAGAGGCAACCACATGAGCAGAGGCTTCGAGCCACTTCTTGCTGCTCACTCTCTGATAACCCTAGATGGAGAGGCTAGCCCAGGCCTCAGGGCTGCCTGACTGATTACTGTGTGGATCACTACTCAGCTGTCTGGGAAAGCAGGACCAGCATGGGAAACGGTTTCCCTATCAGCTGCATGTCCTTGACAAACACTCAACTGAGCCCTGCTCCCAACTGTATGCAGGGAAAGGTACAGGTGCCAAAAGTAAACAATAGCCTGTGGAAAGCGCGGAGCACAGGGGCACACACAGCTTGCATTTATTTGGGCACTTTCTATTAGTGAGTACATTATTTGAATCCTGAGCTTGTCATCCATCACCCCAGGATAGAATCCTGCCCCTATCTCTTTGTCTCTATCAAGTACTATTGATCACAGCTCCTCCCACAGCCCAGACCTCCTGGCTCCCCTCCCTCTATGCCCAAGGCCTGAGACACTCACCTGAGTAGCCACTGGTGGTCTTCGTATGGATACTCAAGTTCTGCATCCCAGACTCTAGCCTGTACCCAGATGCAAAAGATGTCAGGACCAACTCTTGGACCTTTTCATCTCAGAACAAGATTTTAAATCCTGAGAGGGCTCCAGGCAGCACCCACTCCTCCCCATTCCAGGTCTCATGAGAGACCTCCCACACCCACCGGCTCTCCTCGCCCTCCAGAAGTTTGCGGTAGGTGGCAATTTCAATGTCCAGTGCCAGCTTGACATTCATTAGCTCCTGGTACTCTCGCAGCTGTCTTGCCATGTCCTGCTTGGCACGATGCAGGGCAGCCTCCAGCTCGGACAGCTTGGCATTGGCATCCTTAACAGCCATCTCCCCACGTTGCTCAGCATCAGCGATGGCGGCCTCCAAGGATGCCCTCTGTGAGGAAGAGGACATGTGAGCAGGTGGCATCTGATGTACCTTCTCCCCAAAGCCCTTTAGCTTATTTTTTTCATACCCCAGGTTGAACTAAAACTCACTATATAGCCCAGGTTGACCTTGAATGCACAGCAACCCTCCTGTTTTAACCTACCAAGAACTGAGGTTACAGGTGTGCACCATCATGCCTGCTTCTCTGTGGTACTGAACCCAGGACTTTGTGCATGCTAGATAAGCACCTGATCAAACGAGCTGCATCCCAATGCCCACCCTGAGCTTCTTTTAGAGTCTCCCTACCTGACTTAGATCAACTCCACCCAGCTCAAAGAAAATGCTACCAGAGAAACTGACCAAGCAAAAGAGGAAATGGGAGCAGCTTCCAGGCATTTCCACTCACACATTTCCTACCTGTGGCACTGCAAGAGCCTCGCTTTATTTAACCAGACCAGATCCCTAGATCCTAGACATTGCACAAAGTACCAAAACCTAACCTTGTCCTGATGCATATGACTAATTAAGTATGCATGGGGGATGCAATCTGGGCCCCAGCCTACTGGCCATCCCTCTTTCTCCCTGGGCTGGCCACAGAGATGCTCAGCATCCCTCAACTTCCCCAAAGCAACTGAAAGAGCTAACTAGAAGTTGTGCCTCCCATACCCAATTCTGGTCCCACACTCCTCTCTCCTTCCTTCCTGACTTTCTCTCCCTAGTCTCACCCACAGTCCAGCAGTACCTGGCCTTTGAGGGCATCAATCTCTGCCTGCAGGCGGTTGATGCTGCGGTTCATCTCAGAGATCTCCGTCTTTGTGCGGCGCAAGTCATCCCCATGCTTCCCAGCCAGCGTCTGCAGTTCCTCATACTGCAGAGGTTAGACAGAAAGTGAGGGTCCAGTCAGGAGTTCCAGAAGTCCAACGTCAGGGGAGAACCCCCTCTTGTCTCACCAAAGCAAGGGTAATTTCACAGGCCAAACTCCTACATACATTCAGGAGGGAGCACACAGAACGCGGGCACAGGCGAGAGAGAGAGAGACAGAGACAGAGAGACAGAGACAGAGACAGAGAGACAGAGAGAGAGAGAGAGAGAGAGAGAGAGAGACAGAGAGAGAGACAGAGAGAGAGAGAGAGAGAGACAGAGACAGAGACAGATTCTCATTTAGCAACAGACCATTCCAGTCTAATTTTCAGACCTGAAACATCAGAATGTATCTGTTCTTCTCATCAAAACACTTGATTCCTTGTGAAAGGTCCAAGCTACCATGTAGACAGAGACAGAGAGACAGAGAGAGACAGAGAGAGAGAGAGAGAGACAGAGAGAGAGAGACAGAGAGAGCTTACAGCAAGCAGAGTAGAGTTTGGAACCCTGCTCCCTTCCCTCCCCATGAACCCAGGCACAGAACTAGCTAGATGGGGAAGGCCACTCTTGTGACTCTGCTCTTCACCTTAATCTGGTACATGCTCTCAGCCTCGGCCCGGCTGCGGTTGGCAATGTCCTCGTACTGAGCACGAACTTCAGCGATGATGCTCTCCATGTCCAGAGAGCGACTGTTGTCCATGGACAGCACCACAGATGTGTCTGAGATCTGGGACTGCAGCTCTCGGATCTCCTGCAAGGCAGGGGTCAGATGGTAAGGCTCTGTCCCTGTACACAGGGCCCTTTGCAGAAGAGCCTTCCTTAAGGGCAAGACAACAGAGGAGCGGGTGGGAGCTAGGGCTTGGAAAGGGCAAAGTTATGGCAGTATGGCAGAAGGAAGGTGGTCAAAACTCCGGGCTGTGGAGGGAGGGATCAAAGAAAATCTGACTTTGGGTGAGTAGCCAAGGGGAACACCCTGCTGCTGTTCTCAGCCCCAATAACTAAGCCTAGAGGCCTTCAAGACAGCCCAGAGATCAGGAACAAGGGCTTTGGAGACACAGTGGGCCTACGTTAAACTGGGCCTCCACCCTCTGCTTTATGACCCTGGATGGGGTATTCCATTTCTCAAAGCCCATTTTTCCTCTTCACGTAGTAGGGCAGAGCCTCTCTTAACAGGACTAAATGGAATCTATAGTTTATGAATAGTGGGCCCTTGTCAAATGATAGACTGGAAGGCTGTCAACTGGGTTCCAGAGTAGGACACTGACATGCTGGGGGACCTGCCCTCTCCAGCCCAAGAACATACCTCTTCATGAATCTGCCGGAGGAAGTTGATCTCATCAGTCAGCCCTTCCAGTCGAGATTCCAACTCTACCTTGTTCATGTAAGCTTCATCCACATCCTGAGGATGAGGTGAGGGGCCTGAATTCAGTGCCCAGGGACTCCCCAACTCCACCCAATAGCCTATACTAGAAATAGCCTATACTATAAAGACTCGCCTTGTCTACCCCACTTGTGGCTGGTCTTCCAGCCCAGACTCTGTCTTGGCCTGGATCCCAGCCATCTAACTTTGTCCCTGCTTTCTGAAGCACCCTGCCCCCCCACCCAACCTTTCCTCCTCCAGGAAGCCATGGCTAGACCTCCAAATCTGTGCCACTTTCTAACCATGTTCTACCAAGTGCACACAATTGTCTTTGTCATGTCTGCCTTTCTATTACAGATCTAGAAGGCATCAAAAGTTGAAAGAGATAATTTGTCCCATTACTTAGAAATAATGGGGTCATCCTAAATCATATAGGACTTAGAAAAATCCAGAAAATCTCAGTCCAAGTCCCAAAGCCCCAGCCTCCTATGTCTGGATAGAGGCACAAAGAACCTCACCTTCTTGATGAGGACAAATTCATTCTCCATCTCTGTACGCTTATGGATTTCATCCTCGTACCTAGTGAGAAAAGACTTGGAGTCAGTGTATGAAGGCCAAGTGAGGTTGTCCTGTGTCTTCTGGAGCTGTTGTTGCTAGGGACAGAACCCAAGGTCTTACACATTACCCTGTCTTTTTAGGGGAGCATAAATATTTAGAAAATGCATTTCATAGAGATGTAGGGTATGAGAATAGGCTGACCCTTCTGCTCTCACTACCCACTTCCCTCTCCCTACCCAACCTGATTCTCAGCCAGTGGGGAGGCCAGAGCAAGAAACTACTCTCCAAATGTACAAATCCACATTGGATTGGACATACTGAGAGAGTTAGCATGAGACCTGATATAACACCTTGGAGAACTCTCTGGAGTTTGCCAGTGGTCAAGAGTCGTGACTGTTAGTGTATAGACATCAGACTGGCCTCAAACTTGCAGCAATCCTCCTGCCTTTGTCTCCTGAATACTGAGAGTATGTGGCCACCATGCCCAGTTTAGGGATACTATTTAAACATGAAAGTTGTTGCCCAGATCTAGACAGCCCTGAGACCGACATCAGGTGGATGCTACTAGCACCTAGGTCAATGAGCATCCATATAGACTGTCCCAAGCAAAACTGATCCTATGGCCACCCTGATGATACAGGACCACACTGCCCAAAAGCAGAGAGCCATATTTGCTTGGGCCTCTAGCCTCAAAGGGTGGGGCAGGACAGGACAACCTCACTTAGGGGAGACAGAGCGGAGCAGAGCTCACTTATTCTTGAAGTCTTCCACCAGCCCCTGCATGTTGCCAAGCTCCGCCTCCAGTTTCAGCTTCTCCTGGCCCAGGGCTTCCAGTTGCCGCCGCAGGTTGTTAATATAACTCTCAAACATGTTGTCCATGTTGCTCCGAGCTGTCTTCTGCTGCTGCAGCAGGCTCCACTTAGTCTCCAGCATCTTGTTCTGCTGCTCCAGGAAGCGGACCTGCATGAGGAGGACACAGGAAAAAGGTACACATGGGGTCAGAGTCAGGGCCTGGAAGGAAACAAACACTGTTCTTTCCCTCACACCATTGCTTGAGCACTGAGCATCACCTATGAATGACCTAGGGACAGCAGTACAATGAAATGGTGGCATCAGGAGCCATGTCCTCCAGCACTTGGAGTGGGAGGAGCATGGTTGGAAGGGTGAATTAGGCTAAACTGCACCTGCAGAACAGGTGTAATTTATCTGCATAGACTGTATATCACAGATCAATAACAGCCCTGCTTTCTGAAGATGTATTTATTATATTTTACACAAGATTGAAAAGGGCCAGGCATGGTGACACACGACTTTAATTCCAGCACTCGGGAGGCAGAGGCAGGTGGATATCTGTGAGTTCAAGGCCAGTCTAGTCTCCATAGCAAGTTCCAGGCCAGCTAGAGCTATAAATTACTCATATCAAATAATATCATCATCATTTGGACTTTGAAGACAGGTTCTGAAAATTTTAGGGAAACTTTCTTCCTGAGACCCAAAGAACACCTGCCAAGGGGTCTAAGCCAAGTTGCCTCTAACCTAAACTGCATATCTTGGCTTGCTGCCCCTCTCAGACCTGGGTCTCCTCACCCTGCAAAAGCCTCCAGAAATTCAGACAGGTCCTTTCAGGGGTCCCATGTCCACACAGAATGCTCTTCTAGCAGAAGAGGCCAGAAAGAAGACAGTCTCTCTACCTGAAAAGGGAAGGCTCCTTCTTCCTTCCCTCCCTCCTGCAGCTCCTTTGGAAAGTCACAGCCTCTAAGGGTCTCCCCACCCCCTGGTATGCACAACCCTCCCTTCCTGCCACAAGCATGGAAACCACATCTTAGAAGGAAACTGACACATTGTGCAGTAGATTTTTTTTTCCATAGGAGTAATGGACTGTTTCAAGAAGGGAATGCATTTTGTGTAATCAGCCCAAAGTTGTAGCTTTTTCAACTTGGTGAACTCAGGAGAGAGGATAATCTAAGGGTACAATCTGATTATTTATCCACAACCCACATTCTGATAAAAATCCTTCTCTTCCCCAAAATTATTAAAAATAAAAAATAATCCTAGTGATTATAGCATTTCTCCTAATGGAATGCTGAGTGTGAGCCAGTACACTCTTCTGCTATGCTCTTCCCACCATGAGCTGGAACACACAGAAACTGATTTAGGGTCTATCATGTACATTTTACAGATGAGGAAGTCAGACTTGGCTAATGGCCCATCCAAGAAAACCTTGGGGCCATATAACCAGAACTCTACGCCCGCACCAACTGATCTCTATCAGGACCCCAAATCTAGCAAAACGGCAGTGAAAAGAAGGGCGCTGAGAGCCTGCCTCAAAGAGGCGCTCCAGGGGCCTCCGGTTCCTACAGTTCATCTGCCCCTCGTTTTCCCTCCTCCCGTTCCCACGAAGCCTCCCAGGAGCCAGTCAGCAGCTAAGGGCCAATCGTCCTGGGGCCCCGAGGGCTGCAGAGCCAAAGGCCAGTAAAACCTGGACTGGCAAATGGAGCCAGACCGTTGGGGCGGACCCAGGTAGAAAGAGAGAAAGGGGACAAGGGCCAAGCAGGCAGAGGGGCGTTGGCAGGCGGCACTATCAGAGGCCATAAACTCTGGTTTTAACAGGGCGTAAAACTAGGGCGGCGTGTCCCACGCCCGCAGACTTTGAATCCTGCATGGGCTTTCCCGAGGTCAGGCCCCGCGTCTCCCCCCATCCCCAATCCGGGACCTCTGCCAGGTGGAGGTGCGTCCCCAAGACCGAGACCTCGGCCCTCCCTGGGCAGCGGCCCCGCCCACATTGCGGGAGCAGGACAGGGGCCAAGTCGAGACTCAGCCCGGAACCCCAAACTCTGGCCCTGGGCACCAAAGGACTCCCTCTGTGTTGCACCAAGGTGCCCGGTTGCATCAAGACACCTACGAACTTGTTGAATCCTATCAAGCCTCTATTACTTAACAGCAAGAAAAATGCACCCAGGGCACCACTGGGAACCCTTTGGGGACGGTGCTCGGGAAGAAGGGTGAACCCGGTATTCTCCCCTCCCACCCGACTACTAAGGAGCAGAGACAACGGCTGGTCTTCGGGTAGAATGACAGACAGGTCAGAGGTCGGATTCGGGTGAGGGAGGTGGAGGAGAGAGGACGCCCCGGGATTTAATGGCCCAAACCCTCTCCGCCCAAACCAAAAAGTATGAGAGAAACTGGGAGTGTGTCCAGGATGGGTGGGACTCGGCAGGAGCTCAGGGAGGGCCGAGAAGGGCCCATCTACTAGGGAAACAAGAGAAAGGGCTCAGGGCAGTCGGCGGAGCAGGGCAGAGAAGACCCTCACCTTGTCAATGAAGGAGGCGAACTTGTTGTTGAGAGACTTGATCTGCTCCTTCTCTTGAGTGCGCACAGCCTGGATGTTGGGGTCCACCTCCAGCTTCAGGGGACTCAGCAGGGTCTGGTTCACGGTGACCGCTGTGATGCCCCCCACACCTGCAGCACCGAAGCCTCCGCCCAGACCCATGCTGGTGCCCAGGCCCCCACGGAAGCTGCTGCCGCTGCCCACCCGGGAGAAGCTGGAAGAGCTGATGCGGGCCCCAGGCCCACTCGTGTAGGAGCGGCTGCTGAAGGCCCGGGGACCGGAGGTAGACACCTTGTAGGACTTCTGGGTCACCCTGATGGACATGGTGGAGGCTGGAGTGAAGGCAGTCGAACAGAAGTCGGAGCTTTCGAGAGCGAGCTGAGCAGCTGCTTCTAGGCGGTGGGACAGCGCCCAGCAAAGGCCCTTTATAAAAGAGAGCCCAGCCCCAGGGGAGGGAAAAAGACGTGCTACCTGAGTGGCTAGGCACTGAGAGGGCAGGGCCTAACCCGATACCTGCCACCTCCAGGCAGGACTCAGGCGAGGGCAGCAGAGAGCCGCTCCCACCCAGGATCCCTCTCCAGCCCCACCCCAGAAATCCAGGCTAAAGCAGTTCAGCTAGTGTGAAAGGGGAACAAAAAAAGAAGCCAGGAAAGACTGGATTGTCCAGCATTGGATTCAGGGCTCCTGGGTCTTGTCTCCTGCCCACCTGTAAGCAGTAAACTGGGAAGAGAGTGTTCCCTGGTATTTGGGGCTCCCTGATCTCTTCTAATACCCTAAAGAGACCCTCCTTCAGTGGTGCTTGCTAGGCTGGACAACAGTGCTGGCGCCTTCCCGGGCCCATTATTTGCCTTGTCTATCCAGGTTATGACTGTACCACTGCCCCACCCCCA